AATTTTTCCATTTTGATCTCTCTGTACTTTTGGGATGGCCATTATATTTAAACTTGCTTTTCTATAGATTATGTTGCCATAACCCAGAGCCTTATGGCATCCATACAACTCTGCTTAAATCAATCTGGTTTCTTTCTCAAAGATTGGTTGCAAGTTTACACCAGTATACAAGAACAACCCATTCTTTTCATTTCTTTCCTTTGGCTCTTGAAACTTTCAAGAACAAGAGTTAATTGCTTGAATATAAGGCTTTATCTGGGAGATGTAGATCTGCAAGCCACCTTAACTAACTGCTTTACCTTGCAGACTTGAAGCACCTCAGTGTGCCCTGTTGCTCTATCAGCCTGACCATTTCACTGAAAGCTTGTTCTGCATGTGCAAAACAAATAGGTGTGGCCATTTTTCCCAGATGAAGAGAAGCAGAGCTCTTTTGTTTCTTTTTTTCCCAAAGGTATGTTTGCTGCTTTGTTTTCCTGCTTTTTTTCAAAGGTATGTTCCAATGTACACCTCAAAGGAGCCAAGTGTTTCTTCTAAGTCTGGAACAGACTTGGGTCTTCTACAGTTATTTTGGAGTCTCTCTCTGTTTAAGTTAGGATTCATTTCATCTTCTGCAAGACAGTTTTCCTTTGTTTTTTTAATGAACATTCCCAACAATTCCCATTCAGATTTAGCAAACTCCAATCCTCATGCATCAGTCTGTTGACAACCCCATGTCAAAAACCTGAATTTGACGGATCAGCTGTCAGAAGTTGAACTGTTTGCATAACACTGAACCACAAATTACCCAACCACATTTTAATCTAGGATATTGTGCAAACTCAGCCCATGTGGGTTGTTAATGGTTCAGTGTCATGTGAACCCACAAAATTGAGTTAATTGGATAAATTATGTTTGTTAACTATGGATACATTTATCACGCAGATACAATTTGTTTGACCTTCTGTCAAATTCTAATTTTTTTCATTATTATGAATCTCTAAGATTCTTCTCCCTTTCCCAACTATGATTCCCCCAGCATTCTGCCTGAAGCTGCTTTCTCCAAGCTTGCATTCAGCAAAGCAGTGATATCAATTCTATGTCCTACAGACTCTTTAAGTTACAGTAATTAATTACAGTACAAAATAACAAATTCCAAAATTTGAACAACCGTTTACCCAGAAGTTCCAATTGTTGCAACTCCCATATGCTCATAATAATCTCAGAAACTATCATTTACAATTTTGTAATCATTGGGCATTTAAGTACCTAATTCCTAACTCAGTACAGCTGGTCTCAATCTTTTAAAAGAGTTTCTGAGTCTTTCCTAATGCAGGGCCCTAACCAAGAATAGTTAATCTAAACATTAACAATGAAACAGCAGTTTTTAATCCTGATTTCTCCTTTCGCTTGCACTATATTGGAATATTGTACTCCTTCTGAGCTCAGTTAAATCTACAACATGGTTAGGAACCTTTTTTTTTTTTTTAAATCCACGAGCCAAATTGAATGAACTGGAGGTTGTATTTAATTTTCCAAACATCACGAGTGTTCGAGAGCCTCTTCTATCTCTCTTTTTTATTTGTTAAAAATATCAGTGTACCTATAACAATCCTGGGATCTTTTAAAATGCAATCTCCCTCTATTGGCTCAAATATAAATGTTCAGTTACAAATGCTCCTATAGAATGTTTATTATTATTATTTAATTGTTTTAAATAATAAGGCAGGGCTTTCATATCATTGATTGCCCAGTCATTTGTCTATTATTTACCCAAACCCAGGACCATATAGGTAGCAATCAGCACCTTACGTTGCACTCAGAAGCATACCACTAATCAATTGCAAGCATGACTGGTCATCTTTAATGCCTCCTATTTCAAATGTGAATCCAGGAGGACCCCCCAAATTGTGGCCCTGCCCTCTGTGCGGGAACACCATCCCAAATACAGGCTGGGAATCAACAGCCACTCCATTTTTCTGGGGTTGATTTTAAGCCTGTTTGTCCTCATTGAAGCCTGGACAACCTCCAGCTAGCCCATTTTATTCTCAGTAGTGATATAGAACTGGGTATCACCTTCATGTGCATGTGCCCATCTTAAAACTATAAACGAGCTATCCCAGTGGCTTCTTGAAAAAGTTAAAAGTATTGGAAAGAAGGTCAGGCCTCGAGGCATTCCATCAATAGAGTGCCCAAAGTTTCCTCCCCCCATTCAATGACTGGATCTCTCCACTCAGGTAGGAGTGGAGGCTTCTGGGATGTTAAGCAGGGCAACGGGGGTTCACACTCACTCCACTCAGGACCCACTAGAAGCAACTGCTTTAGCCACTCAATAAAAATTGCATGTTCATATGATGGAAATAATCCATTTATTCAGGAGTCCCTTCTGGATATGATCCAACAGTTAATATCCATTTATTTTTTAAAAAGCACCTTTCATTTTCTTCTAATTATACTTCACTTAGTTTTAACTTACACAGAGAGTGAGAGAAAGAGAAAGAGAGAGAGAGAAAAAGAATCTTATTCCTTGTCTGTTTTGTGTGGTCATAAATCTCTAGCCCTATCTATTCATCAGTGCACGATCAAACTGTAAATTAATCCTGAGAAATTCAGTCAACAGTCTTTGTGTGCAAGGTTGGCTTAGATCATACCTGCAGCTGGTTTAATGAAACCTTTTCATATAGGAAGGGAAAAATGTCATTGTGTGGACATTTGCTCTCTCCTGTTTGGTATAGTATAAATAGACCTGTAGTCAATTGTGTATTTCATTGAATTGTTTTCTTTTCTGTAAATGTAAAGAGTAAAGCCATGTCTAAAGCACTCTAAAGCACTAGGAAAAATACAAAGCATTATATCATTGTGCCTTACATGCCTCTTGGCTTTTTTATAAAAGTGCCAGAGCAAATACATGCACAAACCCCATCTGTAGTACACTGTAGTCACGTACCTGTGGTTTTATGCAATTCTACAGCTTGATAGTCACTGCCTTGCAGGTGCTAACAATGGCTTTATTGTCTACCCTTCTCAACTTACGAGATCAAAAGGTGAAATAGCATAAAGTAATAAAATACCATCATTCTGTAAGTAAAAGAGGAACAATCACAAACAATTACAAGGGTACGGGTACTTAAAATAAATATTACCAAGGAGTAAAACAACAAATATTGGGCTATGTATAAAATAAGATTACCTGTTGCCTGGAGACTGTTGAAAAAAGGCCTGTGAACAATAGGAAAAATACAAGTGTAGCATGACTCTCAGTAGGCAGAATGAGTAAGGTTGCAAATGAGGTTAGATTGTGCATAAGTATATCTAAAGACATCAATCTTCCCGTGCTTGTGAGAATCATTGGAGCCAATCAGAAGCAACATTCAATTGTGACAATCAATAGTTTGAACAATGAATTGTGAGATCAGGCCCTGATATCATACGCCTTCAGATCAGTGGTGGGATTTATCCGGTTCGCACCACTTCGGCAGAACCGGTAGCTAATTTTTGTTGCCCAGGCCCAGAATGGACTTCCAGAAGCGACATCCACACAGAGAACTGGTTGTTCACCTATTTGAATCCCACCACTGCTTCACACTGAATCTTTAACAAAGGCAGAGAGAGAGTAAGATGAGAAGCATGTGGACACTATGGGTCCTCTGGCGGTTGAAAGTGGACTTTTATAGGGAGCTGGAAGGTAGAGTTGTTCACTTGACTTGCCTCCAATCTTGAACCAACTTTGCAAGAGACACTGAAAAGACCTAGCTGGGATTCAAAAAATATAAAGGGTAAAGCCTAAGCTTGAAGTACTCTGTTTTATCAGATGCTTACTTAACAGTATGCCTCCTTGGAGAAATAATAAATAGCCTTAAAGATCTATTGGTTTAATAATGTTTTTAATTGCACATGAGACTAATAAATTGCCTGATATTATCTGACTGGAATTGTAATACCGGTTTAAATGGGCCTTTAGTCCAATTCAGCACGTTTTTCTGGTGTTCTAACTTGCTTGGCTTATTGTTTCCAACCTTTTTTTTTTCTTAATGAGTTTCTACTTATATTAACTGTTATGGCTTTGCTGTGATAGCAAAGTTTAGAAATTTTAACTTCACTTTTTCTGATATGGTGACCACATTGAACAAGGTTCAACAATTCATTTTACTATTGTTTGATTTATGTCTTACTTCTCCTTTGTACAACTCAGTGCGGTGTACATAATGCTTCTTTCTTTCATTTTCCCTACCTCTGGGTTAAGCTGAACGATTAATTTGCTCAGAATTCTTGAGCCAGCTCCTGTGCCTAAAGTCTCACTGTTTCCCAATTACTGGTTCAACATTTGAACCACCACACCAAACTGGCTCACAAATGAGTACTGTGGATTGTGAAAGCAATTGCAAAGATTTGCAACATTATTTGTCCTGAGCTGACACCATTTGACAATGATGGATCATTCTTTTTGCTGACAAGTAACTTGCATTTGGCCTAAAGCAGAGAGTTCTTCTACATTTGCAAGGAGAAATCTCAGGATGACACCAGGGCAAAAATGCTGAGGTAGCAAGCCACTGGGTTACAGTCACTCTGGGATCTTCCAGATGGTTGTGTTATCCATCAGTTGTGTGTTATCCATGAACTGGTATAATAGTGCTATCCCTATTGCTAATCCTTATTCTGCAACAATAGCAGGGCTGATAAAGGGTTGCTGTCCTTTGTACCTATTATACCTACCTATAGAAAAGTACCCTCACTGACATGTCACAAGAGTGGATGAGGGACTGAATGAAGAAGGAACATCAAAAGACTTTCATCTTGCTTCACCTTGTATTATTCTTCTGTGCCTGGGAACTGTCCCTCTAGGATATTTCTGAACACTGTTTTAGAGCTGTTTTAAAACATGGCTCAACTTGTGTTTATAAACTACCTGTGCGAGGCAGGCAGGCAGACTGGCATTATGAAGGCAGAAGTGAGGTATTCAGCTTCTCTTACAAGCCAAGCTCAAAGACCAGTGATTACAGAAGGAGGGCTGTACCTGGAGAAGACCCTAAAGATGATGGCCAAGAGGAGATGGTCAGGTCCCAACTCTACTCCACGAGCAGCAGTTATCAATGAAGCAGGCAAGATATTATTCATGGTTGCTAGAGCAGTGTGGTGGCCTAGTGGTGAAGACACTCACTTCCCATTCAGGAAGTTGAAGAGAGGTACTGGCAGATGTTTTTTTCCTAAGGTGCAAAGAAAAAATATCTGCTGCAAACTCTGCATAGGCATCAGAAAGGGCGTCCAGCCAGCAAATGCTCAGCTCCAGCCAGTTGCCCCAATTCTACCCTGAGTAGGAACTACAGGGTTTTAAAAAGGGAGGGGTTTGTTTACTCTGTTTTTACCTCTATGATTGATTGATATGCTGCCTTTCATTCAGGAGCTCAAGATGGCATTTGTAGCACTCCCTATTTTCTCCCTCAATTCCAAGGTGAGTTGACCTAAGAATGTCTGAAAAAGAGAGGAAAAAATACATTAAAGCTGGAACAGCTAAGGAAGCCTTCAAGCTGCTTCAGTTAGGAGTTGGAGATATGAGAAGGAAAAGGACATTAAAAAATGAGTTACTAGAGCATATTTTTGTGCAGAGGAAAGTGCCCTGCACATTTAATGCTTCTTTCATTTAATTATTTGGAAAATGCAATGTTATTTCAAAACATTGAGATAACTTGAGTGGAAGGCTGTAATACATTTCTTCTTGCAAGTGAAAAAATTGGAAATAGTAGGAAAGAAGCAAATCTTAATCTGTGGTCACTTGGTTAAACACGCTCAGTCCCCAAATAAGTAGCAATGAAAGAAATATGCATTTGCGCATGAATGGCATGTTTTTAGCATGATCTCTCATTCATTCATTCATTCATTCATCATTCATTCATTCATTCATTCATTCTTAAAAAAGGGCTCCTGTGCAGCTCCTTAACATTTTGGTGGCATTATTCCCATGAGTTGTAGTTTCTAACTTTGTAGCAATACCTATATTGTGCATATTATGTGCATATTTTATGCAGATAATTTTCTTTTATTCTTATGTGACCACTCTGGAGGAAATTAAGAGTGAACTCTCTTTAGCTGCTTTAGAATTAATTAATTGCTAAGGTTGTATAGAACTCTAAAGAGTCACTTTGATTTCACACTGCTTTCAATCAGGTGCCCCTTTGATATAAAGCACTGAATCAAAATAGCATTCTCTTCCAAAATGCCAGGTTGGAGCAGTCATCTTGCTTGAGCCCAAACACTAAAAGAGCAGCCTATGCAGAAATATTCCTTTCTATTAGATTGAAATGATGGCCAAATCAAACTGTCCAACTCTGATGCTTCAATTGGGGTGTCAAGACTTTTCTGAGTTAAGGCATCCTCTTCTTTCAGACTGCTGTGATGGTCCTGCTCATGGTGACAACTCAAGGCAGATTGGAACCCCCTTGCATGTATGCTTAATCATTATGAATATTTTTCAGGGCTAAACTACATGATGCAACATTTATATTGCACAGTTTCCATTTTTATTTCAGAGTAAATGTGGGGTGATTAGGACTGCAATACGCAGGAAGACTTAATCCATTCCCTCAACCAGATGTATAATAACATATGTTTCAATCTGTACAATAACTAGAAAGTTAAAAACTGCTGATAGTGGAGCTGAAGAAGCTTCTTGGATGAGAAGAAAAATGTCTTCAAAAGAAAAACAAGAAAGTCCAGTTGCCTCATGAAAGAGCATTTTTGGGATAACTATAACCTGGATGACTGAGAATCTCCATAGACATTTAGCTATGCTGATAGTGGAGGGTTTTTGTTTTTGTTTTAAAAAGCATGTGGTTGGGTAAAAAGAAATAAAGTTGTAAAAAGGGGCTAAGGAGCAGGATTACATTTTCCGCTCCTCACATGTAGCAGTCTCAAAGTCTGCAGTGTTAAAATCCAAAGCAGATAAAGAGCCTTCATATCCAGTGCAAGCAGACCCTCTGTATCTGTTGGCAACCTGTTAACAGGAAGTGTTACAGAATAGTGACAGCACGCAGTTCTCAGTTGAACATTAAAAGAGGGGGGAAAGATATTTCCAAAGATGTACTCTGCACCAGTAAATATTGGCACATCCATGATGTTGGTTCAGCATCCGTAGGCCTTGCCATAATGCAGCAATAGTCTTCTGCAGTTCCTCTTTTCATGGTAAAGAATCACTTGCACATGTGGTTGTCCTTATCCAAAAGCAAAAGAGTTTATTTGAATCGAGAAGGAGAAAATCACAATCATATATAGATCCAAATAGAGAAAAATCCAAATAATAGGGTGCCTGACTGTCTGAGTTCAGTCACATAGCAATTAGTCTGCAAGCATAAGCAACAGTCAAAATGGAACAATTAAATGCTGCTCAGCAGTGGTAAGTGGCATTTTTTACTTGCGGGATGTGAAACTGAAAGGGTGGAAGGACCTGTGGTTGCAATGGGCAAACCAGCTGCGGGAGATTAAAAAAAACCCATCTTTTTCAAGTTGAGCTTAACTCCTGGTGATGTCATGGAAATAATATAGAAGTGGTTTGCCACCATCATTGGCTTCTTTGTCCTCTTTTTTTTTTAATTTCCTAATTAGATCTATAGACCTGGTACATCATGGCAATCTTCTACTCAAATACTAATGGGGTAAGCCTATTTATCTTCTGTTTTTACTTATTTTCCATTATGCTTTATTATAATTTACTTTCACTATTGCTGTATATGAATACTACATCATAAAATGATACTGGCAATCCATGTCAGGAGCAAAAACCCAAAGAATATCTATAACACCTTACAGATTTAATGCAACTTCACACTCACATGTTTGGATGACAGCAAAGACTAAAACACTGAAATAAGATTTCCATCAAAGAGTGTAATAAGCTAAACCAATCATCCTGGATAGGTTCATTAATAATGTTTTGCAACATTATTACCAGCATGTAAAGCCATAAAGCACTGTGAAGTGGTATATAAGTCTAAATGCTATTGCTATTGGTATGTCTTCTTTTCAGCATGGAAGCACATTAAATATCTGGTCATACTTTTTTTCCAGTTGCAATAGGTAATTCTCCCACCCATCCATCTTTTTCTGATGCAAATATTGCCCTCATCCTACAAAGAACCTGCCTCCAATATTGCATGGAGACAGATGTTGTATTATCAGGGTTCTATCAAAGTTGGAGGTGTCGTAAAGCCTCTTCCTTTGTGTGGGAGCGAGCATCAATGTTTTGAGTGTCATCTGGAAAGATCCGGGAAGATGCTGGATAAATGGAATCAGTCAGAGGACTTGAAGGTTCTCATCAGGCTTTTTCCAGATGTTTTGGGTTTAATAATTAAAAAAAGACTCTACCCCCTGCCATTCTGGTAAATGAAACCCACATTTATTTTCATCAAGATTCAATTAAACTCTTCCCTCCCCACCACCTCCCCAAGATGAGATGATGTAAGCTCTGAGGCCTGAAAGATACCTCTGTCATAGGCTGCTTATTCTTTGCTTCAGAAATAACAAAGACAACAGCCAGCCATGCATCCTTCCCAAGGAGCTCGAGTTTCCAAAAGCTCTTCAGCCATAGCTGGGCCCAGATTTCCAAGAGAGCTGACACCTGAAATATCAGAGCATCAGGGGTGTCACTGGCATGTCAGAAGCGATTAGTTGTAACACAGACTTACATCCAACCCTGAAAGGCTTCTGGCAGCCCCCAAGGAGAAGTGCCATTAAAGCTTCAAGAAACAGTTGATGAGAAATTGTGTGCCACCCAGAATCACTTTTGTGGCTATACAAATTTGATTAATAAATAGAACAATTTCTTCCATAATGCTAAACATATTTGGATTCAGCAAAACCACATGGATATATAAAAAGAATACAGATATAATGTATTACCATACCAGAAAAAAAGCCAGTTTGGTCTAGTGATTGAGACACCAGGTTACTGAGCCAGGAGACAGCAAGTTCAAGTCCCACCTTAGCCATGAAAACCAGCTGGGTAGACCTTGGGCCGGTCACTCTCTCTTAGCCCAATCTACCTCACAGAGTTGTTGTTGTGGGGCAAATAGGAGGAGAAAGGTGTGTTGGATATGTTCATTAGCTTGATTTTTTTGTAAAAATAATAAATATGGGATACAAATAAATAATAAGAATATAAAATTTCAGAAATGAATATAATTTGCTATCTTTAGTTTCTGATACAACAAAGCAAGGGGAAAACTGAAGAAGCAAAACAACAAATCTTAGAAAGAATCATGCTTTTTTCCCACATACCACTTTCAACCTGGCATCCCTGAGAAACAGGATCTAGGGAAATGCATTGACATTTGGATTCAGCACATGCAAAGCTGCCATCATCCTAATATTGAAATATTTCATTCTGGACGTTTGTACCATTAATGTCTCTAGAACAGGACAACTGAACAGAAATTCATGGCCTACAAGTTTGAACGCCCCCAAATTCCTCCAAAACATTTTTTTTGTTTAAAAGAGTTAAAGCTTCACATAAGAATTACTTTCTTCCTGTCTTCCATTTGTGATTTGTGCCTGCCTTCCCCATCCCTTTGCTCTTCCTCTCAAAAAAAAAAAAAAAAAATGCTTGGATAGTGGAGTGCCTGGAGAATCTACATTTAGAACCTGGACAACATTTTGTCCAAGATCACTACAACCCCAGCTGTATTAGTGCCATCCTCTGGCTACCACTGAAACTCATGGTTGTAATTTAAGGGGAAATGGATCATTGTTTGCATTTCTATTGGCAGAAAGAAAACTCCATTCATTCCAAAAACTAGTGCCAGGATTACACTCTTATTTACAACCAAGAAACTCCTCATAATGACAATAGGAGGAGTAATAGAGCACATGCTGTGTGTACAGAAGCTTCCAAGTTCAATGCCTGATACTTCCAAGTAATGCTGGAAAAAAAACTCTAAAAAGCTGAAGGTTTGCAGCCAGTATATTATCCTGAATTAGTGGTTCAGTGGTCTGGCGCAGTTTCTAATGGACTCAATCAACTCTTGGGGTTTTGAGATTGCCTGGGTTGATAGATTATAACAGGTTGTTATCTGTGCTGTAATTCTCTTGTAAGGTGCATCTCCTCTCCGGTTGACAAATACGTTTGCAGTGACTTCCCACAAAGAAAAGTGAGAGCCAGGGTTCAAATACAATATGGATCAAGCAGCATTCAAACGTTTCATTGCTTTGGGGAAATTGGTTATTATAAAGTTTGCATCTGATTTAAAATTTCTGTTTCTTCAGTGAAGGAGACAAGTAAAAACCAGCATGAAGAAATAATTAAATTCTAAAGGGAAGGAGAAATGATAGGATAGATGGGTGTTTGTCATATCACTTAAGTCAGATGGACAGTGTAGAAATGTGATGATAAAAATATGGGATGAGCTAGACTTAAAGGTTGCCAAAAAAAAAAAAAAAGAGTCAACACAGAGAAGAGATCAGATCTAATGTGCTCTGCTAGGGCCGAAGCACACAGAATCTCCCACGTATGGAAAACTAGACTGAAAAGCTGAGGAAAGCCTCAGTCCCATCATAGATCTTGCCAGTTTCCATTTTTGTCTTCCCGATTAATTTCCAGAAGCATTTGTCCTTACTCTACAGACTGCCCTCTCTGTCTCCAGAGGAAAATGACATAGAGCCGGTCTCTTTTTCTGCCTCTTTCTATCTACAGGCATAAACCCAGTGGTGGGATTCAGCCAGTTTGCACCAGTTCGGCAGAACCAGTAACTAATTTTTTGTTGCCCAGGCCCAGAACGGACTTCCAGAAGTGACATCCCCACAGAGAATATGTTGTTCACATATTTGAATCCCACCACTGCATAAACCTGTAGAGCAGACACAAGTCCACATGGAAATCTCTAAGGATGGTCTCAACTAATTTCCTTATCTTTGGAAGCCTCATTTTTACACACACACCCAAAAAGGAGCCAGTGCCTTGGGGCCACAAGATGAGCTATCTCTGGGGAAGCCCAGCAAGAGCTACCCAGTGCAAGAGCTGACGTGGTAGTGGTGGTGAAGAAACATACACTAGATAGAAAGAGAGAGAGAGAATAAAGCCAATCTCTGCTCCAACATCTTGCATTCGTTTATTTTGCTTTTAAATGGAAGAAAATATCCAGAGTTCCAAGGAAACATAGTTAAAATGCACCATATTTTGCTGAATTAAAAACACATTCAGTACCTTCCTTCCACTGCTCAGAAATATAAACATTGTAGAGTGAGAAAAGAGTTATGTATGTGCAGAGTCAGTCAAAAGGATATTTTAGAAGTTGAAGTCTTCTACTGCTGGCTGTCCAGTTGTACACCAACACTGTGTTTGCACAACATGCTAAACTTCGTTTTGTTTAGCAGATGATGGGTCAGGAAAGAAAGAGTTGACTGAACATGTTAAGAGCCCACATTGGGGATTACATGATAAGGTCAGCAAAACAGAGTGACTGATCCACCCTTATCAGTCCACTGGCAGACAACCAGCAGTATTTTCTCAGATATCCCACATTTTACTGGACAGTGGTGAATTCCAAGACCTATGTTGGACCTATGCGGAGGATATTCTAGGCCCTTTTGCAGACAAAATAACTTAGAGACACTCAAAATTAGGATCTGCCAGATCCAGATGAATAGTCAAGGCTCAGAGACACGAACCAGTGGATTACTTAACCATAGTTTATTGAATTATTCAAAGTATCTGGGTTTATATAACTTTGAACTACAAACAAATCATACTGGCTAAAATAACACATTGCATTGAATACAGAGCAGTCAGTCGGATTTTAGCCTAGAATGGTGTTCAAACCCATCTTAAATGTATTGTTGTACTACATGGGAAGAGTTTTATGGTCAGGTTACACTTATTGTCCAAATGACATACATATTTATGACAATTGGTTAATCGACTAATTAAGGTTCCAATTCTATACACATTTACATAAAACCAAGTCTCCCAAAATGGGAATCATATTTTGCATGAGTTAATTGTGCATATGTTTCAACCTCTGAAGTATCTTTGCCAGGATAGTCTCTTTCATTGCAACCAATCTTTCCTTTTTCTGGACGGGGAAGATAAACAGTTCCAAAACAGCACCAGGCTCCAGCCATCAGGATTTAATTTTCTAAGCTGGTAACCAGGCTTGAGGAGGTGTCCAGATTTGCATCTAAACATGGCACAGACATGGGTTAGTAACATTCTTCATCTTCCTTGTCCCTGCAAAGTTGCTTTCATCTTGTCCCCAGCCTTTGAGAGGGTTAAGTTAAACTCAGCTGAATTCCTATTAAAGTTGTGCTCAACCCTTGTCCCAGCACCACCCAAGGGTAATCTCAAGATATACAAAAGTCTCCTCTTAGTTTAAAGGAGAGTCAGAGGAGTGCAAGTATCGGAAGAAGCTTAGGGATGGCCAATGGAGACAGTCTATTTCTGCCAACCTAAAGACTGGTGGACAGCGGCCTTAAGGCAGATAAGGCTTTCATGAATTTCAGGATTCTGCTTGAAGTGATTCGGTGTTTGAGAAATACTTAGTCTTAAGCTAGGCAGAAGTTGGTTGACTGGGTGCAGGAATGCTAGGCAGGCAAGCAGTACAAGAGCATTGAGAGAATTCTGGTTTTAGTGTATTTTAGTTTTATTTATTTTGTTTTTATCCCACCTTCATTATTTTTTATAAATAATTCAACGTGACGAACATACCTAATGCTTCTTCCTCCTCCTATTTTTGCCTCAACGACAACCCAGTGAAGTGGGTTGGGATGAGAAAGAATGATTGGATATTCTTTCTGCCAAGGTCATCCAGACAGCTTTCATGCCTAAGGCGGAATAACAACTCATGGTCTCCTGGTTTCTAGCCTGGTCCCTTCACCACTAGACCAAACTGGCTCATGACATCTTCATCACGTAATTTTAGTTGCAAAGTGCTTTAGGAAAACATTCTACTTGAACTTTGCAGAACATTTCTTAACAGTAACAACAGTACAACAGTGGAATCAAGTTACCTAAAGAATTAGAGGAGTCTCCCTTGTCAGATGCTTTCAACTAAAACAGGGGTTCTCAACCTTGGCAACTTTAAGACTTGTGGAATTCTGGGAGTTGAAGTCCACAAGTCTTAAAGTTGCCAAGGTTGAGAACCCCTGAACTAAAAGCTGAACAGCTGCCTGGTAGGGACACTTTAATAGGGGTGCCTGGATTGAGCAAAACATTGATTGACTATATCCTAAATGGTCCCTTCCCCTATATAATTTTATGCAGTGATCAAAGCAGTGGATTGATCAAGGCTAGAAAATCCAGGCTCAAGCCTGCCCTTAGCCATGGAAACTCATTGGTGATTTTATGCTAACTAATCTTTCTCAGCCCAACCTAATCACAGGCATTACTGTTGTATAGATCAAATGAAGGCAAAGCCCATCTAAGCCTCCTTGAGTGCTTGAAGGAAAGATGGAATCAAAATCAAAATAAACAATTCTATGTAAAATAATTCAGTAAATATATTTAGTTCAAAATTTACTAATAAACCCGTTTTTCAAACACATTCAAGAAAGAGTTGTTCAAAATTACAAGGATCTAG